TTGGTGCTAGAAATGATCCTAGAACGTTTTCACAAACTATGAGTTGTAGAGAGTCAAATTTGTGGTATGATGCTATAAAAAATGAGATTAATTTTAGGGCATGTAATGGAGTATGTGATCTTGTTGAGTCCCTTAATGGTTTTAAAACCATTTATTTTAAATAGGTATTTAAGATGAAAACAAACTCATCAAGCAACACTAAGAGAAATAAAACAAGACTCGTTACCAAAAAATTCACTCAAAAGGATTCACTTTGCATCCTTTTAGTGTAAGTTTCTCATTTTGACTTGAAACTAAACTAAATGGATGTGAAAAATACATTTTTAAATGGAGATCTAAAAGAAAAAAGTTTACATGGAACAATTAGAGAAATTATACGCTAATGGTAACGAACATTTGATATTAAAGCTTAAGAAATTCATATATGGATTCAAACAAACTTCTTGTTAATGGTATTGAAAATTTTATAATGTCATTTCTTATTTTGTATTCGTAAAAATATTTATAGATAAATGCATATATTATAAGGTCAGTGGGAGTAAAATTTATTTTCTTATTATGTATATGGATGACATTTTACTTGCTACTAGTGTTAATGATTTGCTATATGATGTGAAACAATTTCTCGCTAATAATTTTGATATGAAGGATATTGGGTGATGTTTCTTATGTCATTGCCATCAAGATTCAAAGAGCGGAGTTCGTATAATTATAAGCTTATCATAAGAGGCCTATATCAATAAGTTTTTAAAGAGGTTTCATATGAAAGATTATTCACCAAATGTATCACCCATTATGAATGGTAATATGTTTCATTTAGACCGATTCCCGAAGAACAAATTTGAGACGGTAGAAATGCTCAATATTCCATATATTTATGTTGCTGAAAGCCTATGGTATACTTAGGTTTGCACAAGGTCTATCATTGATTTGCAATAGGGATGTTAGGAAGTAATTAGAGTAAAAATATGTATGGAACACTAGAAAGGCGCAGAGAAAGTGATGTGATGCCTTTAAGAAGCTAAAGACTACTTGTTTGTGGAGAGGAAACTAAAAAGAGAATTTCTTAATACACCCTGGATACTTCTTAGCCACCACGAAAAATTAGTTAAGTGCCCTTAGTTTCCGGAGATGTATCTTCGGACACACCTATTTTTGAATAAATGTTGAAATATTTTAGAGATACATCTTCGAAATAATTTTAAACATTCAATACAACCCACTCATAATCCATTTACATTTTAATTGGACCAGATATGCATCTCTGTGAATATTTTGGAGATACATCTCCGGAATATAGCAGAACAAGTATTTAATGCTATAAATTGTTTATTTGTGTTCAGATGAAGTATAACGTCCGATCGCAAATAAAAAATATACGTACAAAATAATGAAAGACTACTACTATGTGTGTCAAAAATAAAATAGCAATATATGTATAAAAAAATGGCGTACAATCGATATCCAAAATATAGTAAGACCATCAAAATAAAGTACAGAGTATAGTACTACAACAAAATAATAAGAGACTACTATTGTGTGTGTCTGACAACATCTCTTCTACCACCTCTGTCATCAATTCCCCCGTCCTCCAACGATGTCTGTGGTACAATAATTCTCCATGTGCCTCTGCCACGATGGCATCTAGGACTCGCCTGACACTAGACCCATCAAGGAAGCTACCTTCGTCAATGCCTGCAGATGATCTAGTTGTGAGATGACACCTAGGTGAGACATCATCAGTATGATCTAGTTGTGTCTATTCCTCCTCTAATATATCTTGATGTGCTGGTCTCAGCAGATCTCCTAGAGCAGCATGCACCATGTACGGATGTGACATTCTGAAGAACCATCTGATGTACCCTTCGACGTAGCTCCATTCGCTCTCAGCAATGGTAGTCTGTGCCTCCTCAAGTATTAGATTACTCTCATAATCATCAAATATTTCCTCTATTTATCTACATGTCAAGGCAGGAGGAGCAGAGACATCAGGTTGCCCAGGAATGGTCTGAGTATAGCTAAACTTCCGCATGACGCACTTGGAAAGATGAGGAGCAATGAGACACAATTCATAGGTTTACCATCCAGAGTATTATATCTCATCAAATGGTTGCGTCTGACGGCAATCAACGTAGTTGTTAAAGTGTATGTCCTCAACAACCAAAATGTCAAGATAGACTCTGAAAGGCTTGGTCGTATGGTTCCATCTTATCAGGATAAAAGTCATAGCACGTGGCATATCCTCAGTGTACTCAGGCACACTCGTCCAGCTACTGATGCGCAAGAAGTGTTGGAGGATCCAAGCCTAGAATAAAAAATTTTGGAACACACGAATCATCGACAATAGCTTTTTAAATATGAAATAAAAATGACAAAAAAAATATTCAAAGATCAAGAACTATTACCACCTGTGTGTCACGCTGCCCTCCAGATAAACCAGGCAAGGCGCCCTCCAGTTTTACTCATGGATCCGCTAGAGATCCAAGAAGTACCGTAGGTAGACGATGTCAATATAAGTGGCACTCTTGTCCGTAAAAGTCGAAGTGTCAACCAAAAAAGGAAATATGTTTTCAATGCATACGTCCTGTGATCATCACCATGAGCCTGTTGTGCCTTCTGGATCTCATCCTTATAGAGCTTCCTCGGGAAATCAAATCTAACATGACCACCCCTAGCCTTATAGAGCTTCCTCTGGATCTCAACTGCCTCGTCTTTGGTAATCCTCTCATGATCAAAGATTTTCCCCCTGATCAGAAGATGTAATAAACACGAGACATCATCGAGTGTGATAGACATCTCACCACACGGAAGATGAAACGACGAGGTCTCTGAGTGTCATCTCTCTACAAATGCATTAAGCATCCCGTGGTTGATCATAGTGTAACCGATCATGTATATGTCCTTCAGGCCAGATAAGGACATAACTGATTGAAACCAATCCTCATTCAGCTGAGGCAATGCAGCAACCTTCCTCCTATTGTTAAGAAACTTTTGGGGATCACACTCCTGAAATTAGTCAGAAATAATCAATGCCAGGAATAATCAATATCAGAAATTATCAATGTTAACAATTAAAATTAGCACATAAAAAAATAAAGAATCCAACTAATGTTACCTCTTCGTCCTAGATATGTCTAACAGTATGGTCTGGATACAGAGAAAGTAAGGACAAATCAATTGGACCTCCTGTAAAAGCCTCTTGTTCGGCATCCGCAACAGCCTCACATTTCGGAAGTGGCACTGGATCAACATCATCATCATTCGGAGGTGGTACTCGATCAACAGCATCATCTGTAGGAGGTGGCATTGGTGAATCCTAACGCTTGCGGAAGGATAGGGAAAGTGATGTGTCAGATGATGAATCATGTCTCCTATCAGAAGAAGAAGATGGAGTGTCCTGAGGTGAAGTACGAGCCACAGAAGTAGACAGCTCTGCCTGACTAGAGGTACCTAGAGTCTCTGAATCCTGTTGGCTCCGCTCTCGCCGAGAAAACAACACACACAAGCAAGAATATATATATATATATATATATATATATATATATATATATATATATATATATATATATATATATATATATATATATATATATATATATATATATATATATATATATATATATATATATATACACTGCAGGAAATTTCGGAGATGTATAGATTCCGGAGATACATATCCAGAATTTCCTGCGGTATATGAAACTCTGAACAATTCCGGAGATGTATCTCCAAAATGTTCTGCAATTTAACAGTTGCATCACTGACGAATGATCACCATTTTCAGCCAACAAACAAGTTATACACTATGCCTAAACTATATTACATGTGATTTCTACAAATTTCTAACCCTAATCGTTGATTTCTACTCATTTACACTAAAACTCAAATATTTATCGAAAACTCGAAAAACATACTTGAAATTGATGGTTTTGATGAAGTTGAATGATGTTATAGATGAAACTTGATGTCCCCTTGAGTCTTGTTTGATGAAATTTGATTTGGTGTAGGGTATTGTATTGAGGGTTTGAAGTTGTGGTTTAAAAAAATTGTGAAATGAAAAAGGAGAAGAGTGTGACGCAACTTATGATCCAAAATGTTCTAAAAATATATCTCTTGAAATATTTTAACGTTCAATTATATTTTGATGCGTCCAAAGATATATCTCTAAAAACAGTAATTATTTATAAAATTTCCATAAGAAATTTTCAACTAAAAATTTGGAGATTAAATCTGATTCAGAGTTTGATAGTTGCGTTCATTCAAAAAAATCAGCATCATGTTATTTTCATGTTAGCTTATAGGATTGTTTCTTGAAAAAGCATATAGCAAACCTTATCTCCACTAGCACTATGGAAGTTTAGTTTGTATCTTGTTTTAAGGCTACATCATATTTTGCATGTATAAGAGTTTTACATATGGGTTGAAAATTGTGGATTTTACTTTTGGACTTATTGAAAACGCATTGTGACAGTTCTTGTGCAGTTCTTATAGCTAAGAATTAAAAAAAGTGAAGGTCAAAGTATATCGACATTAAGTACTTAGTCCCAAGAGAAAACGTTAAAAATCAAACAATTGTTGATCTTTGACTAAAGACATGCCTATGTCATAATTTAAGCATCATGTAGATAGGATGAAACTTAATTCTTATATGTAATTTTGCGTTGTATGAACGATTTCAATTTTTGAAATTGTGAGATATCTTATCAATTTTTTTGTTAATTTCTAAAGTGTAGACGAAATTAAAAGATGTCAATCTAAATTATAAATAAACATGGGTGTTCTGAATTTATAGACTAAAACTGATAAACAGGTAAAGTTAAATAAACATCATTTCTTTAAATACTGAATTCTTACAAGAACCATCAATCACACACATAATATCACTCCTTATTACACATTGATAATTCAAGCACCTAACATCATATTTCAACACAAACTCAAACCAACTCCTAAACAACACATCAATCTATAAAAATAAAAAACTCCCAAATTTCCAAACCCTAACATTTGGGCTCAAATGCAAGAGGCCCAACAGTGTAGAGAACAAAAGGAAGACCCTTCGACACAAAAGCTTTCTCAGCCCTAAGCGAAGCACCACTAACACCACCATGAAGATTCGAAGGCTTAAGCCCATTAGGTGCACTCACCAAAACAACATTGCACTTGTGAGCTGCATAGCTTGTAATGCTCTTTGGGCCTTCAATGTAGAAATAACCATTCTTATCAGTTTCGTCCTTTAACACCAACTTGTACTTTGTGTTGTTACATTGAAGCTTCACAACGGCACCTTCAAATTCAAACCAACATAGTTATTAATTACCATTGTCGTTTATCGACATAAATAGTCATAACGTTGTCATGTCAATGAAAAAGTACATATGAAATTATGCACTGTTCTCAGTAAGCGTGCAGCTTTACCAAAACGACAAAGTAGCTTTAGTTTAAAACTTTTTCTCTAACCATTCTTGGATTCTCATGTTTTAATTAACACACAAACCCACACTGTTTCCTTCATTGCAAACATTAATAAAGTTTTTCGGGGAACATAACTTTTTGCGCAATTTATGGTGTTTTAAATAATCATTAATTTATGTTTCAAAGAAAAAAAATCATAAATTTATGAAAGAAAAAAGCTAGATAGAGATCTGTAAAAAAACTGATTTAGTAACACTATAGATCTATCTACACTTTGCACACTGATATCTGTCCACACAAATAAAAAATGATTATTTGCGAAAAGGGTAGAAAAAAATTCCGAAGTTGAAAAATCACTGTATAACACTTGATCTAGGAAAATAAGTGAAAATGAAATTACTGACAAAGAAAATAAGATTAAAAAAAACAACATTTGCATGAAATGGCGTTTAAGCGTAAAGAGAAATGTTAAAAGTTAAGAAACAAACCAAGGAGTGATGTAGCTCCCAAGAGGGTGTCAGCGCCAGGATACTTGCATGATTTGACATAAACAACGCCCTGAACAGCAATGAAGCTTCTAGGGATGGGAGTGGGGTGCGGTGGTGAGTGAGCAGGAGGAGGAGGGTGTGCTGGTGAGTGAGCAGGAGTGGGAGGGTGTGCTGGTGGGTGAGTTGGAACAACAGGTGTGTGAGCGGGGGCGGGAGCAGGAGCGTGGTGGTGGTGGTGGCCGTGGGTTGGAGGTTTAGCAGGTGGGTAAGCTGGTGATTTGGTTGGGGGATGAAGTGGAGGTGGTGAGTGAGGAGGGTAAGGAGTGTGAACAGGAGAGGGAGCTGGGGAATGTGAGTGGTTGGGGTGGTGATGGTGGTGGTGAGGAGGGTTAGCCGGTGGGTGAACCGGTGACTTAGTTGGGGGGTGAAGAGGAGCTGGTGAGTGAGGAGGGTAAGGTGTATGAACAGGGGTGGGAGAAGGGGAATGTGAGTGGTTAGGGTGGTGATGGTGGTGGTGAGGAGGGTTGGCCGGTGGGTGAACCGGTGACTTGGTTGGGGGATGAAGGGGAGCTGGTGTGTGAGGAGGGTAAGTTGGGGGAAGAGATTCAAGCTCTTGAGCAAATGAAGTGAAAAAAGTTAGCCGGAGGAAGAGTAGCAACAATGTTAGGGTTTTGGCCATTTCCATGTCAAAGAGAGATAGAGAGAAATGGGAAAAGGAAAGGAAGTGATGGTATTGAATGAGAGTGTGAGGGTTGATTTATAGGAGGAGCTAATGGCAACAAAAAATAAAGGCCAAAATAATTCTTACTTTTTCTTTTTGTTTTTTTAAATACAAAATTTATAAAATGGTTAAATCTAAATTTTTAATTTAAATTACGTAATCACAAGAATTTCACATTTTGAAACGAATAACAAAGATATTACACATTTGAATCTGTATTCTTGCAATTAAAAAACATATAAATTTGAATCCTAATTTTTACAGTCAAATGTTCTGCACAATTAACGAAGTTGATCAATAGATTTATAAAAAATATTATTTTAATGGTGTGTATTTATTTTTTCAAAAGTTTAAAAACTATTATTTTGAATATAAAATTTTTGCTTTTAAATTGCTTAATATTGAAGCATAATTTAAAAACTAATTTTTTGATGTTGAAAAAATTATATGTGATAATTTTTTTTTAGATTTTGTATTAAATAAAAATTAGATTTATTAAAGTGGTTATTTTAATATTTAATAAAAAATTGACTCAATTACTCATTATATAATTTGAAATGAATAACATATTATGAATATTAATATCAAAAAGTTTGAAGATAATTAATTTTTATTTATAATAGAGATACATTTTAAAGTTTTACCTTTTTTTTATTTAATAATAATAATAATAATAATAATAATAATAATAATAATAATAATAATAATAATAATAATAATAATAATAATAATAATAATAATAATAATAATAATAATAATAATAAAAGAGAGTATACAAATTTATTTATATTAAATTTTTTATTTATTTCTGCTAACAATAATAATGATATAGTAAAATATAGGTTTAACTTATTCATGAAATTAACTTTTCTATTTCAAATTCAAATTATTTTAATTTCTTTCTTATTTTTTTCACAGAAAATTATAGAGTATACCTTTTAGAATTTCTGAAGATGAGTTATAAGTCACTAAAGTTAAGTAAAAAAAGATAGTATGTCGAGTAATTATAGAGAATGATAAGTGTTGAGTTGCCATAGATAAAGTAAGTTGGAGTTCAGACTTTAGGATTATCAGAGACGTGTTGGTAGACGCAATGTACGGATCTGCGTAACAGTTATAGAATAGCTCCAAGATTTCAAGAGAGTTACTGAAAATTATCAAGAAGATGTTACATGATAGTAATAAGAGCGGTTGATGTTATGACTATCATTTAACATTGAATTTAATGAGACATGTTCTGGACTGGATCGGCGCCTGCCCCATAGTTGGGCAAAGCTCAATCCAGTCTAGCTTAAAGTCAGACCCAATTCGGCCATAGGGCACAATATAGCCATTGAGCACATATAGCCGTTGGGGACGTGTCCCTCACGGAGACAGTTGGACCAAGTCAAAGATCACGCGCTAGATCTTCCACCTGGAAGTCCCCAATTGGCCGACCAGATATTTCGGTTACATGGGAGACCTTGGCCCCGCGCTGAGGGGAAAACTTATAAATACCCTCTCTCTTAAGAGGGTTAGGTATTCTAATCATTCTTACTCATACCTAAACACTCATACTTACTTTCTCTCGTTAGTCAAAAACTTGCTTTGGCATCGGAGTACCTTGCAGGTACACCTCCTCCTCTCCTACAACCACAGTTTCCGCCCTAGATTGAAGGCCAAGACGATCCATTCTGATCACTCCAGATCAGTGGCGCCGTCTGTGGGAAAACCAGCTCCCTCGTCTTTTTGAACCAAGATTTCCCAATCTTCCCAAACAAAATACCAAAGCTACCTCTCTGAACCTTCATCGTCATGGACTCCCACCACAATGACATCCAGCAATATTCTCTTGTCGTCGTTATGGGTTGTGGCGAAACCCTCATCCCCGGAGCTGCCACCGGAGAAATTGATCACAAGGACGGAAAACTAGCATCCCCTGACAACGTGAAGCCTTGTGTCCAAGGTTCCGACCATGTATACGAACCTATCACCATCCTAGAAGATGCTGACCCTTGCACAGCGGCTCTCATCGTCGCCCTCAACAAATCCAACTATTTTCTCTTCCAACAAGGAAAAAAATCCACATGCTGGAAAACACCATCGGAGAATGGCCTCCCTTGTGGGGATCCCTCAGCCCATCTTGCCGGTCACATTCCCCTCGTCAGAAGCATCACCGAGACGAATCTAGAAGCATCTCCCCTGTCAAAGAACGATCCAAACTGAAGAAGCGTTGACATGAGACCATTCGAAAGCGCGATCGTACCCCTCCCCGGAGATCCAGACACTCCCCCGTATCCAAAAAGACCAGGCCTTCCAGAAAGCCTCGAGAAGAGCACTGAAGCCGACATGAATGTTCTCCCCGACGCAGCAGGAGCCGAGGATGCATTTATTTGTTCAGCAGCTCGCCCAACACGAACGACGAAGAGAACGCAAGTGGTCTCCTATCACAAGAAATCATAGATACCCGCATTTCGCGCAGACTGGAGAAACCTCCCCCACTAGCTCTCTATGATGGTACCACCGGCCCTGGTGACTACATAGAAAACATTGAGGCTACGATGCATTACTACAATGTCCCTGGAGTGATCAAATGTAGTTTATTCCCCACCACCCTCAGGAAAAGGGCTATGACTTGGTACAAGAGCCTTCCTCGGGGCTCGATCACGTCATGGAGGAATCTTAAGGAGCAGTTTACCTAACACTTTACTACCTCTAGGCGCCACCCGAAATTTGAAGCTACGCTTGAAGGTATCATCCAGGGCAAGGATGAACCTTTGTGCAATTACGTCGACAGGTTCATAAAGGAAGTGGTCGAAATCCGCACAACCGACCACATAAAAAAGTATTTGCTAGAAAAGGAATTGAGACCCAAAAACGACTTCTGCAAGGCAATAGAACTCAACCCTCATCGGTCTCTAGCTGAACTTCTCTGCTGGGCACAATACAATATTTAGTACAAAGAAAAGGAAGTCGCGTGTAAGGCCAGAGACTCGAGGGACCATGAGAGTTCCAGAGCGTCGAAGCAGAAACTTCCAGGCGAGACAAAGACAGGCGACGAGACGATTGTCCCCGAGATCACAAAGGTCCTGCAGGTCGATTCACCGAATACACCCTGTTGACCGCTCCACGTGAGTGTATTCTATCTGATGTATCAACACCGAATTCAAGCAGGATGGTGTCCGATTCCCCAAGCCAACAGCTTCGAAGAGCAATACCGACCGAAGCAAATATTGTCGCTTCCACCGTAGCCACGACCATGTAACAAAAGACTGCGTCCACTTGAAATACACTATTGAAATCCTCATCAAAGAGGGTCACCTAAAGCAGTATACGAAGAAAGGAGAAGCCCCCCGAGGAGAAACGTCGAAATCCAAGAAAGATACGAAAGCCTCATCTTCTAGCCCTCCTTCTCTGGTCGCCATGTCTATCTCACGACCATAGGACTTTTTCATCCCCAGCCGGTTCGAAGGGCCTGCATATTTTTCCACGCGCAGTCCCTGGGAGGCCTTCCCTGGCACAATGGTTATTTCCTATGGCGGATACAACGAACTCACAGTAGGATTAGTAAAGAGACAATTCGAACAACTGATCGACTATACTCCAGATCGTCTATCAACACTTAAAAAATTCTGAGGACGATCCCAACCAATCACTTTCTACCAAGAAGAGCTCCCTGGAGGCTCCCCTAACTCTCACATCCATCTTTTTATCAGAGCCAGGTTAACCCCCACTGAAGTCCGGTGAATCCTTGTCGATCAGGGTAGTTCAGTGGACATCATGTACACTAGCCTATTATGCGCCCTCAAATTCGACCAGAAGAACCTGTCCCCATATGTAGGGTCAGATCTACAAGGATCCAATGGGGCCACAACTAAACCCTGGGGATACGTAGAGCTCCAAGTTACATTCGAAGAAGAGGATGCTGCCAAAATGATTAAGACTCAGTTCTTAGTCGTAGACTGCCCCTCATTATACCAATGCATCCTGGGGAGACCGACACTCGCCGAACTAATTATTGTCCCTTCCACAGTTCATCTTAAGATGAAGTATTATATTGAAAAGGGGAATGTTGCCACTCTTCATGGGGACATCGAGGTCGTAAGACGATGCTTCGAAGCGGCCACCAAAGGACAAAGTTCAATCAGTGCAGCACCGTAGAGCGTCAAACGAGCAAGAGACGAAGATCTTCCAGCGAAGAAAGTCAGCCCAGAAAGAAGCCAGTGCTCCAGGTTCATACCATCGACCTTGACAGCTGGATCCCAAAAGAAGGCGAAGAAGATATTTCAGTTGTCGCTACATGAAAATGCAACGACGGAGAGGCGAAAATGAAAAGACAGAAGAGTCACCATCAAACTTTATTCATCTCGTAAGGGGAAGGGAAAACATCGAGAAAACCCTAAGAAAGGAACAGATAAGATGGTCTCACAACCAAGAGAACGGGTTCGGAAGTCAGTTATGCGAAGGGAAGGTATTAGCACCCCTTGCATCCATCGTACTCGATGGGAACCATTTATTTGTCATATGTGTGAAGGTATTTGCTAAAGGGTATTGCTATAGGGAGTGTCCCAAGGGAAAAGATAGGAAAAAAAGGGGAGAGAGACTCGGTAGGACCCTGCGGTACTATGCCTACGTATTCTCATTAGGTATGAGAAAGTCAGAGTCAACATAGTTCGGGGAACCATGGGTAAAAGATGGGAAAATGCTCGACAAGGATTGGGGCCCTTGTGCCTATGTATCTTTACTTAAAAGAAGTAAAGAATCAGAGCAGCCGTAGTTCGGCCTACGGTTAACTAGTGTTTTCGTGGATGATGCTAACATGCATATTCTAGCAGTTAGGTGTATTGCAGCTCGCTTGTGGAGTCTTAGGCGTTACCTGTTTGCGGTAGAACAGGCGTAACATGTCCTTTTGAAAAGAGATATTATTCGCCATTGAGGCAAGATGTCACATTTGATTTGTGAAAGTTATTTTTAACGTGAAATAG